AGCTGTTAAATCTGTTACTCAAGCTCACATTTTCGGATGCTCTAATGCTTCCGTTCCAAAATTGCAAAAGCTGGAGAGTGTGGCGAGCATCTTGCCTATTCCTGCTTAAAGCAACCTTATATTGCTCTCAAATAAAATTCTAACGGAAAGTTCTGAGAACTATGACAAGTCTTTGGTGATGGTAGAAAATGAAAAATGACTGCAATCAATTAAGGAATTGGCTTACTTTATTCCAAAACCAAAGAACAAGTATTCACCATAAAAGGGACCTGGGAGAACCTAGGTAATTTTTTTTTTCGTACAGACTGTATTTTTTAAATTAAATCTAAACAACCTTTTATTTTACTCATTTGTCTTCAATGAATGGCCAGTAGGTTTAGCTAAGTGAGACACAAATTTGTAAGGCTCTTCAAAGGAACTTACATCAGTTTCTTTACGGGCATAAAGAAAATGGCAGTGAGCCCTATGAATCCAGCCCAGCTGGATATGCAGTGGATTCCCAAAATGTTTTCTTTATGTCACAAATAAAAAAGGTAGCATTCTTGACATTCTAAAAAGCTGTTTCTTTTCTATGAAGTCTTATCCTGCAGATTCTAATTTGTAAGATTGTGAATCTTGCTAGAGTTTTTTAAATATCCTATATTCGAGCTGTAATTTAGAAAAAAAAAAGTGTGAACAGAAAAAGAAAAACAAGAAAGAAAGAGGAGACTGGAGAGAGAGTGGGGTGATATCCTATCCAGGAGTCCCCAATCCCCTGTCCACAGACTGGTACCAGTCCATGTCCTGTTAGGAGCCAGGCCATAGGTGAATGGCTGTCAAGCGAGCGAAGCTTCGTCTGTATTTACAGTCAATCCCCATCACTCATATTATCACCTGAACTCTGCCTCCTGTCAGATCAGCTGCAGATTAGATTCCTATAGGAGCGTGAGCCCTACTGTGAACTGTGCATATGAGGTATCTAGGCTGCATGCTTCTTATGAGAACCTAATGCCTAATGCTCTGTCACTGTCTCCCATCATCCCTAGATGGGACCATGGGAACCCTAAATGGGAAAGCAAGTTCAGGGCTCCCACTGATTCCTCATTATGGTGAGTTGTATAATTATGTTATTGTATATTACAATGTAATAATAATAGAAGTAAAGTGCATAATAAATGTGATGCACTTGAACCATCCCAAAACCATGCCCCCTCTGCAGTCCATGGAAAAATTGTCTTCCATGAAACCAATCCCTGGTGTCAAAAAGGTTGGAGACTACTGCTATACACAGTGTTTCACTGTGGAAGGTTTAGCCAATCAATATAACTGGGCAGCAATAATGTGATATAGTCCTCCTGGGCATAGAATTTTGTTCAAAAATTTATCCTAGAACTTGTGTCAGAGGCCTCAGTGAGTTTCACAAAATAACACAAACAGATGCCTGTTGCAGATCTATCAATATGCTTAATTTAGGGTGGGGTTTTGCAAGGGTCTATTCAAAAAGTATTCACAGGCTTATGATCAGCTAAGATAGTTTTCAGGGATCCATAAAGCCCCTGAAATTGCGTAGAAACATTTTTGTGTCTACCCACATGTATGTTTACTTTTCTGGAGAAAGGGTCCCTAGCTTTCATCAAATTCACAAACATATTCTAAGAACAGGCTACAGACTTCTTTAGGTCATTACTAGTTATCTGATGTCATTTTCTTTTGCCAGAAATAAAGACATTACGTGTATGTGTGTAAGTGTGTGTGTGACCTGACAGGCTTAATGTTAACATACCTTGTTTAACTTACACTAAGCATGATAGTTTTAGGCATAGTTTGATTTTCTACCTCTCATAACTAAGAAATTCAAAACTGCTTTTGTTTGTAGCCTATAAAGGCTTTCATTATCCATGGAAAAAATGTCCATGTATTATCACTGAAAAAAATAAGAGAGAATTTAGAAGCATAGAAATAGTCAATATTTATGAAAAAGATGACAGTTTGCTCCATTCAATTTTTGGCACCAAATTTGACTAAGTTGTGTGTGTGTGTGTGTGTGTGTGTGTTCAGCTCTGGATTAATATGTTTGTTTTCATCATTTTAATTGGTAATTAGTTTTATTTCAAATATAGGAAACCATATACTGAAAATCTTTCTGTACTTCTAGAAGTTATAATATTTTGATGCATTGACAAATATATTGACAGAATAAACTGGCCATGTATTACTCTCAAACAAATCAGCCTGTGAAATTTGATCCTTTCACTATGTATGCTCTCAAAGGGAGAGGAGGTTTCCAGCCATCTTCCTGCTGTCTTGTAGATGCTAGATCACTGGAACACGGTAGCAGATCCATGCTAAGTACTTCTCCCTGCGCGAGAACACTGAGTGGATCACACTTGGTCTGTGAGTTGGAGTAAAGATTCCACCGACAGAATCCAAGAGTCAGAACTTGGCAAATTCTAGGATGTCTTAGAAGATCCTAGAATGGGTCTAAATATATCATTTGATATAAAACAGCAGATATAGGGTATTATTCCTTAATACGAAGTCAATGACATAGGAGCTTGTGCTAAAGCAAATCAAGGGAGAAAAATAAATAGCATGGCAAAAAACACAATTACTTCTGCACCAACGTAATACTTTGGGAAATACCTCATAAAATAACCTTTAACAATGGAAAATAGGCTGTCTTTTCGAAGGCATGTTACAAAATACAAATCCCTATGGGGTGGATATTTTTATGACAGCAAATTTTCCTCCCAAAGAGAAATGTTGTATTAACATTTCAAGTTAGCCCTTAATCTTTTTTTGTTTTTATTTTATTTTTTGAAATGGAGTTTCACTCTTGCTGCCCAGGCTGGAGCACAATCGTGTGATCTTGGCTCACTGCAGCTTCCGCCTCCCGTGCTCAATCTATTCTCCAGCCTTAGCCTCCCGAGTAGCTAGGATTACAGGCACCAGCCACCACACCCAGCTAATTTTTTTTTTTTTCTGGTATTTTTAGTAGTGACAGGGTTTCGCCATTTTGGCCAGGCTGTTCTCAAACTCCTGGCCTTTGGTGATCCGCCCACCTTGGCCTTCCAAAGTACTGGGATTACACGCTTGAGCCACCATGCCTGGCCAGCCCTGTATCTTTAAAGTCCCTTTCAACAGGAATTTACTCAATCTTCATAATCAGCAGCAATAAGGAAAGTATCTCCTTTACAGACACCCAAAGAGAGCCTTAAGGAGAGGTATCATTTGAGTCACTAAGGGCTCCTGGGTCAAAACAGAACAACAAGGCCTTTCACTTCCCTCTCCTTGGATTTGAAAGAGTAATTCTCAAGACCTCCCCATCCACAGAAAACAAATGGGTCCCCAGGTCACTTTTCTCTCCCATTTCCCTCTAGGAACTGAAAGAAATCTTGGCATCTCGCCTTGATCAACAGTCATCGCTTTCTTTTACATGTTTTAAGTGGACATGCAAAATAGCACCCACTTTTGTGTAACTGGCATTTTGGATCATTCCTTTAAGATGAAAATCAAACCAGGAAAAACATCAAGTTAAAGGAGATAAAGCCCTAGGAGACTAAAGTATTTATACTTTAGAAGTAAAACAGGTCACATAAGTCAAAAATATCTTTTACCCGAGCAAGAAACCAAATCCCAAACTATTCCTCATTACGGGGATGCAGTTTCTTGATATCAGACAAAAGCAAAGCAAAAGAAGTAAAAGGGAGAACTCAGATGTCCAAGAGTTGTTTTATTTTGGTTTATATTTATGGAAGTGGTACAGAATTTTGATTATTTCTTTTTTAAGATAACTGCTGTGTGTGCCCTCTAAGACCAGCTCATTTTTACAGTACTGCTCAATTCCTTACCTGTTCTGAGGCAGCAGAGAGAAAAAATACAATGTGACACCAAATTGAACAAAAGGAAGTTATTCAATGATAAATCATACTTGAAATGTCACTTAAAAATGAACTTTTCTTTCTCATCATGTCTCTCATGAACATTTGATTTTATTACTTCTCTTTAAGGTTAGGTTGAACCACGCATACAGCAATTAAAGCAATTTTCACCTGAAAACAGCAATGTCTTCTGGCTCAGCATAAATAGCTTAAATACTTTTGGGAAACAATTAAACTGAATCCAACAAATGTTAACTGAACTCACATCACGTGCCTAGCTCCTTGGTCCGTAGAGGCATATACAATAATCGCAGATGGCAGATGGCAGATACCATATCTCCTGGGTAATTCGTCATGACAGTTGTGCTGTTAAGAATCAATAATCATACAAAAATTAGCTGGGTATGGTGGCATGTGCCTGTAATTCTATCTACTTGGGAGACTGAGGCAGGAGAATTGCTTGAACCTGGGAAGCAGAAGTTGCAGTGTGCTGAGATTGTGTCACTGCACTCCAGCCTGGGTGACAGAGTGAGACTCCATCAAAAAAAAGAAAAAAAATCAATAATCAATCTGATCATGTATGGTCAAAGATAGACCCATAATTCAGCCAGTAGTTGATTCAACAAGTATGTCCCCAGCTGATTTTGATAGTGTTTAATAAAAAGAACCATGTAGGCATTTTCTTACCCCTGTGATAACTGCAGGGAGGTGACATTTTTTAACTTCCTACTTTTCATATAGGAAATAGACTCATTGGAAAGATAAAAGACTTGCTTCAGATCATGTTCAGCTTCCACGCTGCTGGTTGCTGGTCTGGTGCTTTGTCTGTTGACTAATTCCTTTTTCTCCCTCCTCACCCCAGGCCCTCCCCTGTAAAGTATGGAACCCTGTGCCTTCGCTGACCCCAGCATCCTGAGAGTTGAAGGGAGAGGGCAAAGTCCAATAGACTTTCTGGTGGGAAAATTTGGCTGAAGGGTTTTCTGTAAATTTTTGCTCAGTACTGTATCCCTTCATATGCTGCTACCTCCCCTGTGCTCAGTAATTTTAGTTTGTGCTTTTTGTTTCTCTTTTTGTTTCTTTGGTTTGCTGGCTTTGTGTTCTTTTCCCTTTTTTTCCTTTTCTTTTCCTTTTTTAATGCAGGAATCGGTCAAGGTGTTCCCGTGGTGGCACTCATAGTGGAAGGGGGACCCAACGTGATCTCAATTGTGTTGGAGTACCTTCGAGACACTCCTCCCGTGCCGGTGGTTGTCTGTGATGGGAGTGGACGGGCATCGGATATCCTGGCCTTTGGGCATAAATACTCAGAAGAAGGCGGGTAGGTAACTGTCCAGGCCCCATGGAAGAACCTTAAAGCCTGTTTGGAAATGAGGGTATGAGTGGATTATGTTTTCAGTAGCTCAACCAAGACCTCAAATCAAAACAAGCTATGAACAAATTGTCTAAAAAATGTCTGTCATGGGAGGGCTATGGCAAAGAACAGACGAACATATTCTAAATGTCCTGTGAAGTGGGAAATTCTATGAAAGCTACACGGATAAATAACAAGGGTGAGGAAGAGAGAGGAGGTCATAGGTTTTAGTCTCCTTTTTCTTGTCTTCGTATCACCTTCTCCTCCTCCCAGCAAGGAGAAGCAGGAATTGGGTTTTAACACATGAAGCACAGCCAGTCTGGACCAGATGGTTCAGGTTGGTAACTTCAGAGAAGCTGGGTTGTTCAGCTTCCAGGCTTGGCCTCCAAACACCAGCATTGCCAAGCCACTGTGAAGATCTGTGGTAGACCGTGCCATCAGGTTTCTCTAGATGGGCGGGGAAAGTCAAATCTCTGTAATGGTAACTACTCTGGTCTTTTGTAAACTCCTCTTGAATGCCTCACGCCCTTTCCTTGGTCTGTTAGGCTCCTAATGCTACTTTCAACAGGCCAAAGCCCCCAATCCCAGGAAAGATTCCCACTTCACAGCACTCCCCTCCAGTCCCACTTCCCACTGAGCAAATGCTGAAATCCAGCACCCTTGCAGATTATTAGATCAAAATAAACCATCCCAAGGTGTGAGTGAGATTAAGGGGGTAAAACTCAGGGGAGCCATTGATGTGTTAAATAAGGAACTTCCTAATCCAATCAATTCCCCTAACACATGAAATCTGTGGGGAGGGGAAAGCCTCAAATGAAATGATGGTCTTTTATTCGTGCCTTTTATAAATACACATTAAGTGTTTCCTGGGTGCGATGCACTAGGCCGAACATTAAGATGTAAAAAAGAAAAACATACAATTAATTGCCACTTTCAAGATGCTCACAGTAAGTCTAATAAGTAGACAAGTATTACAAAACAAAAATACAAGTGAACTCACCTACAGCAGGATGCTCCCTCCTCCATCCCTCTCGTACCCATCTCTCTTGTACCCAGCCTGCTTTATTTAAATAGAGACTGAGCATGGTGAGTCAGTACCATCCCATCTCTCCCCATCCCCTTCCTTATCTTTGACAGCAGCCTAGTACTCCACATAAGCCATTAAAACAGCACACCTACCTCATTAGTAGATGAACCTATGTTCATGAAATGAGGAATAACAAAAGACATTGAGCCTCCAGCTTAACACTGCAAACCCAAAAGCTCTGATACCAAAAAAAAAAAGTTAAATTATTATTATATTTTGATAATAAATAAGTGGTCCATTGTATAGCTCAGAACTATTTAAATTTAGTTAACTTACTATTATATTATTTTTATAGTAAATATTGGTCCATTTTATCGCTCAGAACCTAAAAAGAGAATATGTACCCAAACTTCTCTATGTTTACAACCAACCCAGAGTTCAAGATTCTTAATTGTGCTTTGTTTTATTAAAAATTTAACCAAGGGTCAGGCACAGTAGCTCATGCCTATAATCCCAGCACTTTGGGAGGCCAAGGCAGGTGGATCACTTGAGGTCAGGAGTTCAAGACCAGCCTGACCAACATAGTGAAACCCCATCTCTACTAAAAATACAAAAATTAGCCAGGCTTGGTGGCACATGCCTGTAATCCCAGCTACTCGGGAGGCTGAGGCAGGATAATAGCTTGAACCCAGGAGGCAGAGGTTGCAGTTGTAGTGAGCCAAGATCGCGCCATTGCACTCCAGCCTAGGCAACAAGAGCAAAACTCTGTCTTAAAATAAATAAGTAAATAATATAAATAACCAAGGTTCTCCTTTCTCTAAATCTAGCAATATGTTCTATTTTTCAGAAATAAACAATAATTTTAATACAGTTTTTAGCTTTGGCTTATTTCTTACTTTCTAGTTTGCAAATTATTTTATGGTATTCCTACAAAGTAGATGCAAATTTGCATTCAGAATGCACCTTTTGTTTTTCTGGGTTTTTTTTTTTTCCCCCAGAAAACGCATGGAAAAGTACACTGTTCACGTCAGCATTTCAGGTTTCTCAGGTGTATACACAATGAAAGCCAGGATCCAGTGCCTGTTATTTATCATGATCTTGGATTGTCTACCTTGAAAATGTTAAAATATTTAATAAGTTATATATAAATATGTTAAACTACTTAGATTGCCCTTCCTGCTTTAATATGGAAGAAAGATTATGTATTTTAGAACTGGGTGGGACATAGATTATTTAAATTAAATTATTATTTAAATTAAGATTATTTAAATTAAGCACTTTGTCCAAAGCCACACAGCCCAAGATCCCAGGCCAGAATCCCTGCTGGTATATGATGAACATGTACTGACATGTGTTTTATGCTATGTGCTGTAGTGTTCCTCATGTAGTACTTCAGTGATACTCTTTTTTAAATATTCAAATGCACTTCAGTTGCCTTCAGCTTCCTCTTTTCGTTATACTTTAGTATTATTATTATTACTACTGGTATTCCAAAGAAATCAAAACCAATGCATTCCTGGTTGTAAACCAATGTCCAAACTGGTCAACCCCGTGTCATGTAGATTCTTTCTCTTTTCCTGCCTAGACCATTATATACCAACCCCAAAATTAAGAGTCAAAAATATCATTCTTTCTTTTCTTTTCTTTTTTTTGAGATGGAGTCTCATGTTGTCACCCAGGCTGGAGTGCAGTGGCGCGATCTTGGCTCACTGCAAGCTCCGCCTCTCGGGTTCACGCCATTCTCCTGCCTCAGCCTCCCGAGTAGCTGCAACTATAGGCACCTGCCACCACCCCTGGCTAATTTTTTGTATTTTTAGTAGAAATGGGGTTTCACTGAGTTAACCAAGATGGTCTTCATCTCCTGACCTCGTGATCCTCCCACCTCAGCCTCCCAAAGTGCTGAGATTACAGGCGTGAGCCACCGTGCCTGGCCAAAAATATGCTCTTTTAACTTTAATTAGCAATTTTTGTTGTAATTTTTTTGGTCAAAATATGTAATTTTTGGGATTTACACAAACTATGAACACTATGAACTATGAACTATGAACAATCGCTGATTATCAAAGAATATGAGTTTATGCATATAACTAGTGTGGAGGTAAAGAATTAAGTATAATTTTCGATCCTAAGACATTTTAAAATTAAAACTTTAAAAATTTTAAGAAAAATTTAGAAATGGTTATTAAGAAAATAGAAGTCTAAAGAGAAGTTTTGTATTTTATATGTAGTTATGATAAAATGTGCTCTTGCTCCAGGAAAGCAATTATAAAATCATCATGATAAAACGAAGTCAGAATGTTTCTCTGTGCCATCTGAATAACTTCAAGAATTTAATCATGTTTATTTAGCTTGATAAGAAATTGTCACACATGTGCAGCCAATTTTAAAAATCATTTCCAAATAACATTATATTGCAGTAGTGTGCTTTATGTTAAGAAAAAAAAAATGGCCCAACTAGACCTTATTCACCAGGAAGGATTTCTTCTTTGATTTCTAATAAAGTCTGACAGTGTTGGAAATGTTTCACTACAAATAAATGTAAATCCACAACTACATGATCATATAAACAAATCTGTATAAATGTGCATCATTGTACAAATGAAATTGGATATAGAGAACACACACATCCTGTTTATGAAACCTTTATTTCAGGGCTGCACCAGTATCTTTTCAATTACTTTGGTAACTTAAATATGATTAAAAATGTTTTAAGTTAATTTAAAGATTCTTAAATAATACAGATCCAAGAACTATTCAGCTATAGAGCCTTTCATTTTATAATCTTAAAGGAGTAAAAAAAAAAATCAAGCCGTACATTTTAACCTTTGTGAACTTTATGTTTTATCTTTGAATTCCCTTCTAGAATGTGAATTTGAAGACAATCACTTTGGAAGTAATTTGTAATTGACAAAACTGATTAGCTTTTGTAGATGAGATTACTTAGGATAGAAAAAGACAGACTGCATCTATCACAATCCAAATGGATTTGGATAAACTAAAAGACAATTGCAATTAAATTCTTGTTTGAGTCTCTTTCTGCCTGTCTCTGCTCTGTGGCATATAGTACCTGAAAGAAATGGTCAAACTCCTGTTTTCTTCTCATTGGCATAATGGATTTTCTATTTCTCATCTGTCTTTAGAATGAGTCACTAATTAAAATTTAGTCACTTTCCCTAATTAACTTTATTGCTTTCGACATATTATCAAATTTTATTTCTAAATCATGAATGACTAAACATGACAAAGTTAAAGAGATTCATGCTACCCAAATAGTATTTGAATCACCTAAGTTTTTTAATACTAGGATTCTATTTTTGTGTTGGAGCAATATGAACTGTAGTACGCATAGTTGGGAATACCATACCTTTCTCCTGACATTGAAATCAGAGATTACTTTGCCTCATAATGGTCAACCAAAGTGTCAGATTGCAGAGAAATGTTGTCTAGCCCATCATTTGTCAATCAGTGAGCAAGTACTTCACCCATAAAAAAATGTCAGTGTGAAAAAGGCATCCAAATGCATTTGTGTTCCAAAATGGTGCTCCTTATTCATCCAAATTTTTTTGATTTTTATGTTTATTTTGGCATCTTCATTCCAGAAATAATCATCTGTATTTACCATTTTTAGATACTCTAGGACAAGAAGCAGAGCTTGCTGGTAGCAGAAAGCCTTCAAGTTTTTTAGTCATCTGTTATTAACTTTCGGGAAATTATCAATGGGGAAAACACCAAGAGACTGTTCACATTTTTGTGTCAGTGGAATTTGTATTGGATATTGGGAAAAATAAATGAGCAATGGCTTGGGAGCAGGAGAATAGATAATGCATTGCTAATAAAAATTTGACTTTCCTGTTTAAAGGATATTTAATAAGATTCCCTATATTATTTGATTAGCTGAGGCAACGGCATAAATGAATGCTAACTGGAGATGAAAAACGAA